ATCCTTTGTTGGTGCCCCCTGAGCCTGCCAGACCCTAGATCCTCACCCATTATAGGTTTAAACGGATTGAGTTCAATTCGAGATGATTCATTTCCCCATGTCCATGCGATGAAACTTGATGTTTCACTTGTAAACATGAAGTATATGTATCCTAGAGGTTACTTGCTAAAGCCCATGCAGAGAAAAATAATTTTTCTCATGTAACCATAGCATTCACCCCTACCTAACGGGATAGAGCACAGTTAGAAGGCTCTAACGATTTCAAATGGTTATAGTGTGTGTGAAGGGAAACTCACAATCCTTTACCTCGATCCTTGAACAATCAACCCAAAAAAGGTTAGAAATCTAAAACATAAAAACTTTTCACATTAGTATGACTAATAAAAATGCGATGTGATACAAACAAAACTTAATTATCAAAATTTAAATATCATTCATATTTTCCATTTTGCAACAAAAAAGATGATGTATAATCAATTACAACTTGACTCTCTTAAAAGTCCCCAGTGGAATCGCCAAGATGTCGAAACGATTACTGCACCTTTTTAGGACTTTTTCGGGGATCGATCCAACTTAATTTTGCGAACATGTTGGTTTTTAAAATAAATACATAAATAAACAAATTTGGAGTCGCCATCGACCTTTGGCTTAGGTAGGTCGAATACCTAAAAATACCTTTTAAAATAATTTTAAGAAAAATAATTTTAAAAGATAAAAAATTGATTTGCGCTTGACCATATATTCATTTTGAAAAAGGGTTCGAGAGTCGGTTACGATTGGGGAAGGATTAGCACCCCCACAACAGCCAAAATTGGTACTTAAACAATCATACATCATATAAATATTGAAATTGGCAAATTCAAATAACATTTAAATTATGATATTTTTTAGAAAAAAAATAGGGATATTATTTTGTACGAATAATCCTCGAAAATACCTTCCTAGTTAGTTAATGAGGTATTTTTATGGATTTCTCTTACAAAATAGCAGTACCTTAAATTTTGGATAAATATATAAAAATAGATAAAAATCAATTTGTTTAAAACATAAATATATTATTTTATTCGATCAATCCTTAGAAAAACACTCCTTGTTAGCAAAAGGGGTATTTCTTTAAATTATTCATATAAAATAATATATGAAAATTTTATTTTAGTAATAAATTTATAAATATGTAAATAAAGGATTAAAATAATAAATATAATAATTTTAGGGATTAAATTATAAAACTAATACAAGATCAAGACAACAATTGCAAATATCATAATTGTTAGGTACTTCAAACATAAATAAACTATTAATATTATGTAGAATTAAAAAATATTAAAATTTTAGGATTAAATTGTAATATAATAAAAATTCATAGCCATAAATAAAAATAACACGCAAAAATAGGTACTGGAAGTGTAATTTGACCATAACTAAATTTCAAGATCAAAATAAAAAAATTAATTTAGGGACTAAATCGGATATTTACCCAAAACACATATAAATACGGTTAGTGACTAAAATATAAACAAAATAAAATCTGAAATCCAAATTAAAATACCTGAAAAATAATTTCAGTGACCAAAATGGAAATTTACAAAACTAGAACGACTCGGAGAAGGGTTTACCCATGTGCTAAAACCATGGTTATCAAAACCGGACCGGACCGGCTGGTTCAACCGGTTGAACCGTGAACCGGTGGCCTTTTCGGTCCGGTTACCTCACAAAACCTGTCTGGCAATGAACCGGCTGAAAATCGGCAAAACCGGGGTGAGCCGCCGGTTCACTTTTTTTCTTTAAAAAAAATTAAACCAAACGACGTCGTTTGTTCAATGAGCCAAGTCAAATTTGAGTATTGCTGAGCTCGACTCGAACTCGAAAACTTTAAAAGTAAGCTCAACTCGACTCAAAAACTCACGAGCTAAAAATTATCAAGTTCAACACGAACTCGGAATATAATATTAAAACTTGAACTCGAAAAGGCTCGAACTCAAAAAATATTTAGAAGTTCGATTGAAGCCTAAAATTTGAGCTCAATAGTTTGCTATGTGCTCACCAAAAGGCTCCATGATTTTAAATGTCAAATTACCTCTATTATTTATAGAAGTAGTTGGGATGCTCTTCTATGTTTCTTAGCCATGTGATTGTTTTGTTCTCATAGTTTTACTCTTTAAACTTTTGGGATGCTCTTCTATGTTTCTTAGCCATGTGAGATTATTTTTTTTTAAAATAATAAACCAAATTACATCATTTGTTATGATTTTTTTAAGCCCCAATTTATTTTTTTGATTATAGTTATATAATTATATTTATTATTTAATATGTTTTACTTTAAATATTATGTTGTAGTTGATTTGAATCATTTTGTTTCACTTGATTTTATGGTTTTTAATTTATATATGTTATGACTTGTGATATTTTTATACCTTTTAATATTGTAAACTTAAAAAAGTGTTATATATATATTAATATTGCTTTGAATATTATGTAAAATTTAAAAAAAAATATTTTATATAAAATCCGATTCAACCGCGATTGAACCCGGTTGAACCTGTGAACAGTGAACCAGTACCTTCACCGGTTCAATGTCCGGTCTGGTTTTAAAAACATTGGCTAAAACGCAAAAATCCCTTTCCCAAAACGACGTGTGGGTAGGATTATATTTACCCTTAAACCCGCCCTATAGGGCCTTCATCTCTCATTTCTCATTTTCACTCTCTTTAAAAGAGAGAGTTCTTTCAACTCTCTCTACCTTTCCTCACCGGAATAAGGTAGGCCACTTCCGGTCACCGCTCGTCGGAGTTTTCTGTCACTGCTCACGGCGCTCGATTACATAAAAACACCTCTAAAATGTAGATCTTGAAACCCTAAAGTTAAATCTGACCTTCCCTCGTCCTAAAAACCCCTACATCACCCTATATCTAAATGAAACCGAAGGTTTTACCTTCGGTTAAACGGCAGTTTTCGGCGAAGTTCAACTTCCACGGTGGTAAGTTTCTCCTCGGTCTTCGTTTTTCGTTCTCTGTTTTTATGGTTGTTGTCTATTGTGGTGGTTTGGTTGCATTTTTTCTATTTTTCTTTCGTTCTCTCCGATTCTCTTGTCTCTTCTCTTCTCTTGCCGGTGGGTTCCTTATATAGGAACCCGTTGATCTCCCTTCGGACCGGTTAGAGAGGAGATGCACACTGAGTCATCGAGCTATGGCGGTAACTAGGTAGGGGCGGTGTCAATTTCTAGTTGGGTGCATTTAATGCACCCAGATCTTGCGGATCTGGCCAGTGACATCGACAGTGGCGGTGGCTGGAATCTGAGGAGTCGGACGCGTGCTCCTCACGCACGGCAGGTGGACGATTCAGATCGGTGGCGGCGACTATCTTCCATTAGGGTAAAACCCTAAATCTGATCCAATCTAAACCGTTGGATCAACAAACCGATCCAACGATTGAGGGTGAACGACGGCTAAAATGGGGTTCATAAACTCTAGCTGCTTGGATCTTCTCTTATTGGGCCTAAACTTGGGCTTCGGGATGGATCTTTGTAAATGGGTCGGGTTTACTTTGTAATTGGGCCCGGGTTTAATTTGTAGTTGGACTTACCTTGTAAATAAATAATAGATAATTATTATTTAATAATAATAATAATAATTAATATAATAATAATAATGGGATGAAAACTACTATCTACATATCCCTTTTTGTTAATGCACCAAGCTCTACTGGTTTCTTTTTCAATCAAACAAAACTATTTGCCATATTATTAATCGTTTGTTCTAGTAAAAAAAATCTAGATTATGGAGATTTAGTGCATGTCAAGAATGTTTGTACCTGTGCATTTTGCATGCATACTTTGATTTTCTTTCTTCTCAAGTTTACAAATGAAATTATCTTTTGTACAATTGCTTCAATTCAACTTTCCATGTGTTTTTATTTGCAGCACGTTTATTGTATAGCTTATAGATATCATAGATGCATTTGAAAAATATGCATTTAATTTAACTGGTTAATAATCTTTAGGGCATGAACCGAGCTACTTCATAGGTAAAGGAAATGTTTTTATTTCATGAGGTCTCAGGTTCGAACACCAGAAATGTCAGGGGCGTGAGCGTACAATGTCAAATTGTTAAGTTTTTAACGGCAAGGTACTAAATTGAAACAAAAACTAAAGGTTATGTATGATTTTGAAAAATTTGAAAGTTTAAGTTCTAAAACAAACCAAAAATGATAGTTCATGTACTAAATGCGTTACCCATCAAGCATTCTTAGTGGTTAAAAGGGATGTTATTTTTTCTAGAGATCTTGGATTTGAATAGCTATGTATGCAGGATATATGTGTATTGTCATTGAGTTGTTAGCTCATATTAGTTTGATCACGTGATAAGGATTAATTTTAAATTTGACCTTTGAATTTTAGATAAAATATCATTTTGACCTTAAACTTCAGATAAAATATTAAATTGATGCTGCCAGCCATTGTTGGTCATCGTCAACCATTAACGCCGTCAACTATTGGACTCCAAAATTTTTAATTCACTCTCTTTTGGCCTTCCAAATGTAAATTTTTTGTTTGTTACCCGAACTCAACAAAACTAACTTAAAAACTTTATATTTCTTTTAATATTGAATCATAATAATGAATTTATGAATTTAAATCGATATTATCGCATTGCGATTCTGGGAACTGATTTGCGATTCTGGAGATCGCGTTGCGATTTTTATTTCGCATTGCGATTTTGTTGGTCATTTTGGCAAATCCAAAAAAAGTTGGTTAAAATCGTATATTATAAGGCATTTTTGGTCACTGAGGCGATTTTCTCTTTTTTTTATGATGTTAAGGTGATTATATAGTAATATTTATTTTAATTATTCTCGATCATTTGACAATAATTGCTCAATCACCTCTACTGTAATCGATTGTGCATGAACCCGAGACCTCTATGAATAACAACCATTCTTTTAACTAGTGAAATAATTTGATTCGTATACTATTATATGTGCATTTTAAAATCATATAAATAATGATAAGAGAAAGTGATAGTCTGTGGAAAAAAGTTATCCTTGCTAAGTATGGTTATGAAAAAGAAGCGTTGTTGCCAAATAAAACGATGAGAGGAAAACCATCTTCGTTATGGAAAAACAGTGTGTCGTCGTTAATGAATGAAGATGATTATGTAGTTGTTAATTGTAAATGCGTCGTGGGTAATGGCAACAGGATAGATTTTTGGGAAGATCATTGGACGGAAGTTACTTCCTTGAGAGAGTCCTTTCCTAGAATTTTCAGGATTGCCAATCAGAAGAGTGGGAAGGTATGCTATAATTGGCGGGGTAAGGACTTGGAGAATTGAAATTAGAAGACAGCTCTTTTCTTGGGAGGTGAACATTTGGAATGAATTCATGAACGTGTTAAATAGAGCAAAACCAGTCGGGGTTGGAGAAGATCAGCTAAAATGGCTTGGAGCGTCAGATGGAAGTATACGTCGACAAGTTATTGTCTTGTTGTGTCATGTGTTGGGGTAAGGGAGGACAATATCTAGAAGATCGTTTGGTCTAATATAGCCTCTCCTAAAGTTGAAGCCTTTGTCTGGAAGGCGATTCTTCAAAGATTACCTACTACTGTGGAGCCGCTGAAACTAGAAATGCTTTTGGAAGATTCAAATCTGTGTGCTATTTGTAAACAACATCCTGAATCGGTAAATCATGTGTTATGTCACTCTGAAATTGCATGGAGAATATGGGAGAGATGGTGTAAATTGTGGAAGGTGCAGATCGTTTTTCCTGAAGATATTAAATCAATGCTCTTCATTTGGAATGGTGATAGCTGTAGAAAAGAAGTTAAGCCGGTGTGGCTACTTAGTTTTTTCAGTTTTATTGGACAATTTGAATGTATTTTCAAGAAGAGTCAATTTACAGAGGAAAATATTTTTGACATTGGTCTTCTAAAGACTGGAGTGTGGGCGAATTGCAAGTGGCCAAGATTAGTTCCTTCAGTGCAGGATTTTATTCGTTGTCCCTAGGCAGTCTTACAACTAGATGACAGATTGTTGTACTAGATACTCATGTTGAGGAGTGGTTAAAGACAGCATTACACTTTGATATGAGAATTCATGGGTGTTGGGGATAATAGTGTCTCTCTATTTTTCAAATGGTATTTGTTGGTTGGCTGAAGGTTTGCTTTTTTTAATTGTTTCAATATAGCTGAGAGCAAAGGAATGATGAAAAGAGTAGTTTTATATTCAACAATTGGATGTGGGTACCTAATTTCAGGACTGTCGTAGCGTTTTTTATTGATAATGTTTGTAGGGTTTGATGTTCCTTTTGAATTACTCTCTGGAGATCCATTTAGGTATTTGATTTGTTTTGGTATTTGAATTGATATGTTAGTCACAAAAGGATTGGATGTTTGTGTGGATAGTTCATGGCCATAAATGAGTTCCTTAGTGGCTGGAGAAGGTTGTATCCACTGCATTGGTTGGGTTTTTTGTTTGGTACACATGAGCATATTTGTAGTTTTCTTTGGAAGGGCACGAGTTACAGTGGAATTTTCTGTTAGTTTTTAAATGGTTTAACCAGTTGATAGCCCTCTTATGTGTTGTCCGGGTCAGTGAGAGAGTTCGATTCTGGTTGTAGTATTTGTGCCATAGTCTGTATGTCATCGGACAATAGTTAATGTACTTGTACATTCGGTTGTAATAGTTTTATCTCGACATTGATATGGAATACTCTTTTTCTTCCATTTAAGATTAGGGAGGTTTTTTAACGAGGTCACGATCATTGTCTATCTTCGCATGTTTTAATAACACACAAGACGCCTCTTTTAAAAAATATATAACAGAAAGTATAAAGAAGAGATAATAATCACACCGAAGTACGAAAGAATTGAAGAGAATTATGTTGATAACTTGAGATTCTAAGGAAAATAATCACACCGAAGATACGAAAGAATGAAGAGAATTATGTTGACTCTTTAACTTGAGATTCTAAGGAAAGTGCTTCATTATTCATCAAGGGAAATGAATCTTAAGCCCATTAAATCGATGAACTCATGATTGATATTTAATATAGTTCTTTAATTTTAAGATGGGTAAAAGAAATTATGGGAAGACTCATGAGGTACATTTTTACTTGTATGGATATAGGTCGGTCCTAGGTTAGGGTAAGAGGAGCGTTCATCCCGGGCCGACAAATTAAAAAAATATTAATATAATATTTTTTTATTTTATAATAAATTTAAATAAAATGTAAAATAAAATAATGGAGCTATGAGTTTATTAAAGTGTCAATTATCATTACTAAATATCTTTAATTTTGGACTTTTCAAATTCGATATTTGATCTTTCAAACTATTCAACATCTCATAAAACTCTAATTCTATATTTATTTTCGAAATTCAAAACAAATCCAATTGAATCTCTTTAATTTTGGTCTTTTAAATTTTCACCATCAATTCATCAAATCTCTTGACTGATTTTTCATATAAATGAAAAATTTTATTAACCTTATTTGTTTCTCTTCAAAATTTAATGGCAGGAAAAATTTAAGTATAATTAGCATTCTTCTTTTCTCTTCCACATTTTACGATTCCTGTGAAAATTATTACTCTCAGTTTTTAATTTTTCATATTTTTCACAAATACAAAGTCACAATTGTTTATCATCAAGTTTGGTGCTTGATTCATATTGAAGAATGTTAATAAAATTCTAGGTAGATCATGTTTTAAATTCTTTATTTTGATTTTTATATATTTCCAAATTCTAGATAAGATCATTCATTTATTTCCAAATGCTATGTTATGTGTTGAGAAAATATTTAAAAGCATTCATGTTGACACTATCATCAATGATTTTACATCAATAAATGCTCGAAGGTGATGTTTTTTTATAAGTATTTATATGCTTAAATATATTTTTTGACATTTTTTATATTGTAATAAATTACTATTGTTTAATTTAAATAAAAAATTTATATTATACATTTCTTAATTTCTTAAAAATTAGGGGTCTATTTTTTTATTTTCGTCCTGATCCAAAAAATAATCAGGACCGACCCTATATGTACAGTGAACAATGCACGCGCATAAGGTTGGGTTTTTGTTCTTAATAGATTCATATCCTATGATTTGGATGGTCCTAATAAGAATGACTTGATGAATTTACTGATACAAAATACGAGTTTTTATGCTTTTAATGAGTTAATAGCCCACGATTTGAGTGGTCCTTTTTGAGACAAACTGATGAATTCATTGAATTAATAGGTTGGACTACTAAATGTTCTGAATGAATTCCTATAAAATTCTTTGAGTGGTCTTTTTGAGATGAACTTGATAAATTCATCGAATCTAAAAACTATGAGGTTAAGCTTACTAAATGAGATAGACTTGATAAAAACATTTACATAAGTGTGGAGAACTACTCACCTTCCATGAAAGACATTGCACTGTCTTTCTAGAGCATATACAACATCATAAGGTATATTGACTAAATTATTGGTTTATCATGAAACTCTGTTAGATTTGAATTAATTATTTGTCATTCGGTTACTCATATTTTAACAAGTTCAAGATTCGCCCACTTGTTAAAATAAGAACTGTTTATTTTCCTGTGTATCGGTTCAAATCTAACAAATAATAATACTTAATATAAAAATGCATCTAAACCATATCTCTTTTCCCATTTAGATGTCTAAACTTTTTTGGTTAAATAAAAAATATTAATTTTTCCATAATATTTCCGGTTGTAACCAAAATTATTACAAATTGTATAATATTTTTAGTTGTAAACCCTAAAACCATCGCAATGTAACATGCAACCGAAAATGTTATAAATTTATATAACTTTTTAGATTGAACATGTATCGTCTCGAAATATAGGTTAAGAGTTTTGGGTTTATGTGAATGCGGTTTAGAATAATTTTCCTTTAGTATATGAAGTTTTGGACCCAAGTAGATTTGATTTGGGCTTGGGATAAGCCCAACAAGGTTGAAAATGGATGGTTTTAATCATGTGTCAAATGAATGAGGACTAGGGAAGTAATTAACTCAATTTTTGAAAAAAAGGTTGAATTCTATTTATTTGGGGTGATATCACGTCTGAACCAATCTCCTCTTTTTCATCTCTTTGTCGTCTTTTCCTCTCATCTTCCTCATCTTCTTCCTCTCCAAGGAAAGTTAAAGGTCCAAGCTTTTTAGTTTTACATGTTTGAATCATAATTTCCAATGTAATATTTTAATCAACACTTCCTAAGATTCAATTTGAACCCTCATTTGCAAGGTTTGGATGTCTTAGGATTTTAAAGGGGTTTAAGGAACCTTGTGTTTTAGTATGATTTTGAGTTGTAAAAATTAGTTACAGTGTTCCTTTAAGTTTAAAATGAGTTAACAACTCATTTTCATGGCTTTGATTAGTTAAAAAGCAATTAAAGATCTCAAAGGCTAGAGTTTACTAACCAACAGAGAACTAGAGTTTGGTATTGAGGTGATGCAGGTTCAGCTCCGGTGTCCATCGCTCCCTATCGCATGGCACTGAAGGAGTTTAAGGAACTTAAGACCCAGACTCAAGGACTTCTAGAGCGAAGGTTCATTCGCTCGATCATATCACCGTGGGGATCGCTAGTGTTATTTGTAAAGAAGAATGACAGTTTAATGAGGTTATGCATTGACTACCGCCAGTTGAACAAGTTAACCATGAAGAATCGATATCCACTTCCAATGATTGACGATTTATTTGACCAACTCAAGAAGCTAGAGTGTTTTAAAAAATTGATTTGAGGTCGGGATACTACCAGTTAAAAGTCAAGGAGGCCAACATTGCAAAGACTGTATTTCACACACGTTACGGTCACTATAAGTTCTTAGTGATGCCATTCGGCCTCACCAATGCCCCCGTAGTGTTTATGGATTTGATGAACATAATCTTCCATCAGTACTTAGATCGTTTCATGGTGTTGTTCATCGACGAAATCTTGGTGTATTCGCGTTATGAGGAGGAACATGATTGCCACCTCTATATTATTCTGTAGACCTTGAGAGAGCGCCAACTATATGCCAAGTTCAGTAAATATGAGTTTTTGCTAGCATAGGTATCATTTTTGGGTCTTGTAGTAGCTGTTGAGGGTATTCGGGTGGACCCACAGAAGATTCAAGTCGTAGTTGAGTGGGAACTGCCAAAGAATATAATTGAAGTGCGTAGCTTACTGAGACTTACTGTTTACTACTGATGTTTCATGAATGGGTTATATATGATTGCCACTCTGATGACAAAGTTGCTGCAAAAGGGAGTGTCTTTCGTTTGGGACGAAAAGCGTCAGTAGAGTTTCGAAATGTTAAAAGATATTTTGACCCAAGCCCTAGTGTTGACCCAACCAGAACCGGATAAGGACTACACTGTTTAGTGATGCTTCACTGAATGGTTTGGGATGTGTATTGATGCAATAAGGCAAAGAAGTTGAGTATGAGTTCCAACAGCTCAAGTTGCATGAGCACAACTACCATACTCATGATCTGGAATTAGTCGCGGTGGTCTTCGCTTTGAAGATTTGGAGGCACTACCTTTTCAAAGAGAATTGTTACATCTTCATTGACCATAAGAGTTTAAAGTGTCTGTTTTCCTAAAAAGAGCTAAATTTGAGGTAGCGACGGTGGATATAATTGCTTAAGGATTATGACTGTGTGATAGACTATCATCCGGGTAAAGCAAATGTAGTTACCAACGCTTTGAACAGAAAGACTGTATCTGATCTTCGAGATATGTTTGCGCACTTGAGTTTGACCATTAATGGAGGACTACTAGCAAAATTACGAGTGGAACCCCAGTTAGTTAAGAAAGTAAGAGAACTTTAGAGTATGAACACCTGATTAAAGAGCAAGGTGGAGTAAGCCTGTCAAGGTGAGGCACTTGGTTTTGAATTGAAAGACAGGAATGTATTACACAATCAGGGACGGTTGTGTGTTCTGTCAGTCAGTGAGTTGCGAGCCAAGATTTTGGGTAATGCGCATTATGGTCCATTTTCTGATCACCCG